TTCCTGATCTCCTCGCCCGGCTGGAGCTTTCTGCCCGGTGCCATCAGGAGGCCAGCCGGGGGCCCCCGGGACGGAGGAGGGCCTGGGAGCTACTGGTTAGCTCCTCGGTAGACGGAGGGGAAGCTGGTCTTGTCCTCCCCCCGTGGAAAGCCCCTTATCACTTCCCTGTAAAACGCGCTGCTAGATAGAGATTTAGCGAAATGACTGCAGGGGTGGGCCCGGATCGGGTACCCTCATCTGTCTCGTGCTAGAAGTTGTCGCTGAGCCCCGATTGCACGAGCGACATGTCTGAGCCTCAGGAAGGGGGGTCACACAGCAGTCTCGGAGCGGAGCACAGCCCGCGCGTGGGATCCAGGCTGCCTCGTCTCCCACGAGCCTGTGCGTTTCTACTGCAGCAGCACCCCAGCTTCTGGAGCTCACATTGTAGCTGCGAGGTGGCTCAAGCATTTTGGGGAACTTGATTGTGTAACTGAAGGAAACTGCAGGGGCTAAGGGAATAGTTTCCTCTGAACATGCTTTTCAGTCGTGTCCGACAGAACAAAGTAGCAGAGAAGAAATGTTCCTTGGTTATTTGCCTTGCTATAAGAATCTAGCTAAGAACATTAAATTCTGTGGATGTCTTAGAACTGCCATTTCATTTGACATCCTCTGTTTGTGATTTTCCCACAGTAGGGCTTGGATAACCCAATGGTTTTTTGTGATTGAACTAGATGCACATCCTGTTTCTAAGATTATGCTGTTCATGGCCTTTCCTTAGGTTTTTATAACCAGTAGCGGTGAGGGCACTGTACCCACGTAAAGGTTGTTCTTTGATCTAAGGCCATAGTTGCCAGTTGCCATTTATTGCTGTTGCTTAAACTTTTACTCAAAGCCTTGTTCAAAAGCTGTGGTTTTCTTTCTGTAGGCGGCTAGTAGTCATCCCCAAAGATGTTTGCCAAATGAGCAAATATCTGAACTTCCAAGTGCGCATCTCACCATAAAAAAATACCTGCCCAAAGAAACAACACGTCAGATCTCTTTTGCCATGTATATGGTATAGGAAACATGTATCGTAACTTCTTTGTATCAAGTCAGATGGTGATGTGAGAAGAAAGATCTGACTTTGCCACTAACAAATTGGAAATTCTTAGGTAAGTCCCTTTGTACTCAGAACCTCAGTTTTCTATTCTGTAGAATGAGAAGATTGGATTAGATGACTTCCATATTTTTTTCCAGCTCTAATATTTGATTCTGTTGTGAAAAATTTGGACTATAACTTAATTGTGTCATTATATTCAGGCTTACCTGCTTGTGCTTGTAGTGCTTTAGGCTTTTAAAGTCACCTTTATATTTATTTTCATCTTTAATCTTCACAATAATTCTCGAGGGAGAGACCCCACTTACAAAGAAGTTAGGTTTGCTAAAAAGTTTGCCCCAGGTTTATCTAAAATGTGAATCTGTGTGCCACAAAATATTCCTCTAGGCTTATTACTTCAATCCTAGAACATACCAAATTTGCTGCTTTTCGGTGGCCAGCAAATTAGCTCACTAAATTGTGAACTTAAGAACAGGGTGTATCCGGTTCATCCTTATATTCTCAGTGCTTAGTGAATTTCATTTTACATTCCAGGAATTCAATAGAGGTTTGTTGAAGGAATGAATGAACAATAATTACGACAGTGGTGGAAGAATTGGATGTAAAAGGGTTTTTGGGTTCTAATCAATACTTATTGAGAGTCTACAATGTAGAAGTGTTTTTTTTAACACCACAATTTTTCTCTCTCTTTGAATTGTCTCCACTTTTTATTTTAAATTAAGGAAATATCATTATGGGGCACTAATAATGTCTTCCTAAATAGCAGAGCTTATCTCCAGGCTCTCCTTTGTATGCATCTATTACATTCTTTGAAGAATACAAAGACTTAGAAGAAAATGATTTCATAAAAATCTGACTCAAACAAAATTGCTCACTTTCCCCTTCTATTGTTGCTTTTCTGGCTTTTGTAAAGAGATAATGTCCTGTACCTAGCTTTTGATCTTTTTTTGTAGTTTGTGGAAATAAACGTCAGGATTAATCAGTTTGCGTAGGCATGGCCTAGTCTGTCTTAAGTATTTTAATCGAGTATCATTCAACAGAGTAGGAATTCTATAATGATCATAAGTTTCACCATTTATAAAAATATGTAACTCGTGAGTCAAGTCTCCTATGACCATAGCTATGTTTATATTCACATCTCCAGGGGTCTCCTAGTTACTAGGGAATTCTGTACAAGTTCCTCACAAAATTCACAAGCAAAATATTTAGCATCATAAAATCATAAATCTGGGAGGAACCGGAGAAGGGCCATCTGGTCCACCATGTCCATTTTTTAGATAAGTTCTGCGAAGTGACTAGTTAGGGACAGAATGGGCTTTAGAATTATGCTAGACTGTTTTTTCCTTTGACCTTTGATTACGTTTTAATCAAAGATTAATCGTAATAAGAGGAGCAGAGGAGTGCCACCATCTACAAGGCCTCTGAGTGACCGTGGAAAATCTTGAAAGGCTGCCTTGGACTTTGTTACTCTGTTCAGGGTTTGGCTGTCTTGAATTGTTGTCGGTGCTAGGCCTTATCTATACAGTTGTTTAAAAATCTTTGACCTTCATTTAAATTGCCGACCCTTTCCTGTTGTTGAGCCTTATCATAGTTTCTTTACTTATGTCTTCTTAATTCTAGAAGTGTTTCTCTTTCTTACTCCCCCAAAGCTAATGCTTTGACATGGGTAACAAGCAAATGAAAGGAATCAGAATTCTTTTGTAACATTCTGAAGTATTTTTTAGGATATGGCAAAGTGCTAATGAAGAATAATCATGGTTATATATTTTCATTTCTCATTATGCAACTTTTAGGCTGGTTCCTAAAAAAAAAAAGGTTCTCTTCTCTAGCTGATTAAACAGGTGTGGACTGGATTTGTTTGGAAATGATGTTCTTTCACAAAAAGAAAACCTCGTTCCATGGCTCCAGCAGCACCTAACCCCCTAACCTAGCTGGCTGTCTAGCAAATGCTCCCAAGCAAAATGCATTTAGAAAATAACAATGGCTTGGTGGGAGCCTATGGTATCACCATATAAAATAACAGGCTGAGATATATGCTGCAACCTCAAAGTATTACAAAATTCAAAGTTCCCACAGGTACAAAGGGCTGAATAGCTGCTATGGGTTCTCCAGCTTTCTTTAGGATATGAAAATCAGAAATGCCTTTGTTAGAATCACTGTGGCAAGAGGCCATGTAAAATATGGCTTATGTATTTTGCTGCTATTCAGTTTTGAGGTCATTTCCTAAGTTTCAGACTGTGTGCGAAACAGGTGCAACTATGACGCTTTGGGTAGCAGGGAAGAGCTAGAGCAGTGAAACATGAAACTATAAATCAGTTCTGTGTCACAGATCTCTTGGGCTGCCCTAGAAGAGGGTGATGACTCGGCAGCATTCCTGATGAGGCTGCAGAACGCTTGTTCCCAGGCACCAGCCTGTTGGGGGGTGCCGAATGATGGAAGACCTTGGGTCTTCCCACTGCTCAGGCATTAGACCCCTGCCTCAGCCGTCGGCTGGTTCTGCACTGACTGGTGATCTGACTTTTGTCAATTGAGCTGACTGATATTTTAAATATTATAAACTACCACACCTTACATTTGTCTAGGGCTTTATTCTTTACAAACGAGTTCAACCTTTTTCCCCCTCTCATGTAACCCTCACAACAAGCCCTTGAGGTGTATGATTATTATACCCATTTTACAACTGAGATAACTGAGTCTGTGTGGCTAAGTGGCCGAGGAAGCAGCCAAGAACATTCCACAACATTGCCAAAGAGGTTCCTTGGGAATAACTGTTTTGAAAACAATGAAAATAAATCTGTCATTGAAATAAGACAGCATTTCTGTATATCCTCTTGTCTTTTGGAGGAGAATGTGGAAAGAGGACGGGGCATACCAATACTCAGTTGTACAGCTTGAAAATTCTCCTGAAGGCAAATATTTTCAGTGAGCAAATGATCCAATCATCCTGTTGTGATGCCTAGAATTGATTTATTATCCAAGGACTCAGAGTCTTTATTTAGAATGAATGAAACTCAGGAAGCGCTCTAGCAGGTTAGGCTCAGTGGTTAGGGCATCGGCCTGTGGACTGAAGGGTCCTGGGTTCGATTCCGGCCCAAGGCATGTACCTTGGTTGCAGGCTCGATCCCCGGCCCTGATGGGGCCTGGTGCGGGAGGCAACCAATCCATGATTCTCTCTCACATCGATGTTTCTCTCTCCTTTCCACTCTCTTTGAAAAGCAATGGAAAAAAAATCCTTGGTGGGGATTAAAAACCAACAACAAAAAACTCAGGAAGCATCTTCATTGGACTTAAAAAGAGACCCAGTTTTTCTGTTCAAGTGCAACTTGCCTTTGGCCATGTTTTCTCCATTACAGGAAGCAGGGAATGGATTCACTTATGTGGAAGGAGGGTAACCAACCTGGACCCTATGTGACCCTAAGCAGGGATCCAAGCAGGAACTGTCAGAGTGTTCCTGAGGAGGCGTGGCTTGCCACCAAGTCTAGGGAGACTGGCTTCAGAAGGTAGGTCCGCATTAGAGCAAAGGACTTTTTCTTTTTTTGTCTCCTTTGGAAAATTCACATCTAATATCTTCTCCAGTCCCAAGGGTGAATTGAGCTCAACACTAACTAATTAAATGATCTTTCGGTATTTATTGACTCAGTTACTATTCTGAGGTCAAGGAGTATAAAATGGTAGCTTCTGCTACTACCTGATTTTGGAGGTAAGATGCATGGAAAGATACCAAGCAGAAATGGATGAGAGGGAAAGGAGTTCAGGAGAGACGTTCACAAGCTGCTATGATAATCAGGAATGTTTGAAAGATGTGGGGTTGAAACAGGGCATGAAGGGCCATAGGATTTAGAAAGTCGGTGAGGACATGGACAGGTATCTGGACGCTGGGAATGGCATGGAAAGGGCTATGAGTTGGAAAGGCACAATATGTGTTCAGGGCACAGAGAGTAAGCCAATTTGAAACAGTTCATATTTGTAGAATAATAACAACAAAAAATGTTGAAAAAGTAGATCAACGAACTGTTGAAGGGCTTTGAATCCTAGGCACAAAGACTGAGCATTTTATCTCCTGTGGGCATTGGGGAGCCAAAGAAAGTTTTTGAGCAGAGAAGTGATGTGATTAATTGGGTGGCTGTGTATTGAATGGATCAGAAGAGGACAAGCTCATTGGGACGAATAAAGAATCTGGATGTGATATTAAAAATTTTTAGGGCCCTCCAGATTCTTGATCCAGGCAAACATGGTAGTGCTGTCCAATAGAATTTTTGTGACAATGGAAATGTTTGCTATCCAATATGGTAACCACTAGCCATGTGGGCCTACTGAGTACTTGAAATGTGGCTAGTGAAACTGAGGAATCAAGTTTTTTGTTTTAATTAATTTTGATTTAAATAGCCACATGTGGCCAGTGGCTACTGTATTGGGCAGCAAGGCTCCAGAAGGTAGGACAAAGGTTTTCATAGTGATTGAAAACCAAGCCACACTGTTACACCAAACTAGACCTTCCCCCTGTTGGAAGTGGTGAGGCCCATTCTTTGGTATAATCCACAATCTACATCAGTTTATCTGATTTACCATTATGGTCCAGTTTTCTGCATGTCAAGACCTCAGTGAAAGTATCAATTGGTGCCAGTCACTGGCTCTGCTCTTCAGGCAAACTAAGTCATCCCCAAACCTGCCATTCCAGTTTACAGCTGTGGCCACGTATCCCTCTACTGAATAGCTTTTAAATCATTTGTAAGCTGCTAAATGCCTATTATTGCTTGGATGTCTTAGACCTGGCCTGCTCTTTGGTTTGTTTCCAACTCTAGTGCATGAGAAATGAGAAGTTGCTGGTCACTGTTTTATGTTGATTTAAATTACTTTTGCACTTGATTTTTAGATTAATGGGGAAATGGTGATTCAAGAATTTCCAAAATAATATAATTTAGAGACCACATTGCTCAGTAAGTCAGCTGCGTTTAAAAATAAAATCAGCTTGAATTTAGTGTAAACAACTAAAGCACAAAAACTATGATCTTATCCCATTGGGTATTTAAAGTCTGAATTCATGTACTTGGTCCCTAAGCCTGTCTAACCATTTGTTGCTTGTGACAAGAGCTCAGCAGGTCAAAGCACAGAGCTAATGAGGCCCGACTCCTGGGTCCAGTCTCATTAATGGTCCATTATTTTGTTCTGTTCTCTGTCCCTGACCCCTTGCTGTGTTGCATATTCATGACCTTGGTCACAAGGGTGGACCAGGCCAGAGAGGGACTAGTACAAATCCATCACCACAGCTACGAGCAAAACAAGCACGAGCTCTGTGAATGGAGGGCAAGAGGTGTCCTCTGCTATGCAAAGGGAAGTATTTAAAGAAAAGACCCTGAGAACCAGGCACACAGGCAAGGTGAATAGTGCTGTTTGGAAAGACTGCACTTTAGACCATTAACTAAATATATTGATGAACACTGCGAGCTGGAACACACAGCAGGACATGCGGTCTGGTTATGAGTCACTTGAAACTATGGGATGCTAAAGACACCCTCTGTGCTAAAGTTGATCATGTTTTCCTCCTGGTATGAAGTCACGGGCTAACCCTTGCTTGTTCTGTTCTGATGGTAACATCTATTCAAATTTAAATTTAATGTTAGAATTCTCATTGTATTATTTACCTATGAGTCATTCATAAATGATAATAGGAAAAAAGATAATAGCAAAATTTTAAATGGAAAAATAGTTAGGTATTTTGTTGTTGATAAGATAGTAAAGCTTTTATGATAATCCTGTATAACGCTGAATAAAGTGTAAATCCACACATAAGCAGCAAGAATCTGTTCTGGCTATTGGAGATGGCTAGTGAGGTAGGGCGTACCAAATGGTGGACAGTTATCAAGGTGCTGTTGGACTCTAGTGATCTGGTTAGTAACAGAAATGATATTCAAACCTGAGATTCGGGTTTGGGGCTACATTCTTCCTACTCTTGTCCTATTTAACATTATTTTATTTAAATAAATAATAATCATTTTCTCTCAATATCATGACACATTCCATAGACTTGGTTCTCAGTAAGTTATGATATATAATAATGTGGCTTATTTTCTTGATTGCTGATCTCTCCATAAATTAGGAAGTTGATTCACTTATAGGAGGCTACAGTAGTCCCCCCTTATCTGTGGGCATTATGTTCCAAGGCCCCCAGTGGGTGCATGAAACTGCAGGTAGTACCGAACCCTATATATACTATGCTTTCACCTATATATATATATATCTTTTCACTTAAAGGAGGCACATTTAACTTTTATTTATTTCTTAATCCTCACCCAAGGATATGTTTCTACTGATACTAGAGCGTAAGGGAGAAAGAGAGAGAGAGAAATTGATGTGAGAGAGAAACATTGATTGGTTGCCTCTTGCACCCATCCCAACTGGGGATCGAACCCACAGCCCGGGTATGTGCCCTGACTGGGAATTTAACCCTTGACCCTTCAGTGCAGGGGTCAGTGCTCCAACCAGCTGAGCACACCAGCCAGGGCAAGGAGGCACTTGACAGCTTCTCTTTGGCACATCCAAATTGCCAGCATCACTACTCTTGCTCTTTGGGCCATTGTTAAGTAACATAAGGGCTACTTGAACACAAGCACTGTGGTACTGCAAGTCTATCTGATAACCCGGACAGCCACTAAGTGACTAACAGGTGGGGAGCTTATACAGCGTAGATACGCTGGACAAAGGGCTGAGCCGTGTCCCAGGCAGGATGAAGTGGAACTCTGAAGATTTCATCATGCTACTCAAAGCAGCATGCAATTTAAACCTTATGAATTGTTTATTTCTGGAATTTTCCATTTAATATTTTTGGGCTGCAGGAGACTGTGGGTAACTAAAAGTTCAGAAAGTGAAAGTGTGGATAAGGGGGGCCTACTGTACAGTTGGCCCTTGATAAACATGGAGGTTAGGGGTGCCAGCCTCATGGGGAGTTGAAAATCTGAGTGTAACTTTTGATGCACCCAAAACTTAAGTTGTCCCTTGGTATTCATGGGGGATTGGTTCCAGGGCATCCTGCAGAAACCCAAATCAAGTCATCAATATAAAAATGACACAGATCAATGCATATAGTCAGCCCTCTGCATCAGTGGACTCACAACAGTATAGGCATTTATTGAACCCTCGAAGTTCAAACTGTGACCTTTGTGTTGGTCAAGGGTCAGCTGTATTTGACTTTAATGAAAACCCTGTGATCATCTAAGTTGTTAGAAGAATCTGCTTCATGAAGTAGGGAAATCCTTCACATTGTATGTTAAAAAATGTGAAATATTGATTTTAGTAATATCTAAGATTAGAGGCCTGAATAAGGGCTCATGCTCTATTTTATGCTCCATCCTGACTCATGGTAAGATCTTGGGCAAGTCACTTGACCTTCTTATATTTCAGTGTGGCAAACTAACCATAAAACTGAATAAAGTATGACCTCATTATAAACCCAATAGACTTGAAAGCCAAGATGTGATTTGATACATTTAAAAATTACCAGAAGATAACTCTAGATGGTAAATATGAAGAATCAGAATAATGAATTTTACTGTAATAAGTAAAATGATTCTGTTTTTAGCAAGTAAAGTCATGGAAATTATTTTGAGTGAAACAGGTTAAATGACAGAGGGAGAAATACTGTTTTAGAGAATGCCTGGTTTTCAAAACCATAGACTGTAGTAATTTAACCAAAATAATGATAAGGAATGAAAGAATATTGTAAGATAATGAATCCTTAATAATTAAATACATTTCATTTCTAGGCCATTATTTCCTACTTATACAATATATTTCATGTTTTAAAATGTATTTAATTAACTACTATGTGAGGAACCTGGTAGAAGAATACAAACTCCTTTAGGAATGAAGCAGTTTCAGTGATGTTTGGCTATTTACACTGTAACGCACTGGATTATTGAATATCCTTTAAATTGACTTTGTATTAGTCCCCTTTCCTCTCTCTCCCTATTTCCAACTCTCCCATTAAAATATACACTTTATTCCCATTCAAGTTTCCCTCTGTGAGCACAGAATGGTGATGACGATGATGATGATTTGTGAAGTAATGTCTTTCTAATCTGCAGAGGGAAGGTTCACTGGCTTTTCCCTTCTTTTTTCTTTTTCCAGCCTTTCTGCTGAACAGCAGGTTCACCCTCTCTGCGGCATTCTAGAAGGAACATAAAAGTCAGAACAGCTCCGCAGATGATTGCCTGAGGTTACCCCAGAAGTCCTGTGGCATCTGCAATGTGCCTGAACATTTCCCATTCTTTTAAAACATCTTTCTGCAGATTTTGCCAAAGCCAGAAACAAACATAACCAAGCCAAGCCCTTTGGAGCGGAGCTTGTCAGTCCACACTTTGCTGTGTGTAAGCAAATGGTAACTGCAACTGTTGCCCAGGCCCTGTAAACAAAAGGTCCAATGTGTTCTGCCTTGGGGAGAAGGGAAGCTGCAGCGATTCCTTTCGTTTGGACAAGATTTCTTTTTTTCCTTCTTTTTACAAGTTTGAGGCTTCAAATCAATAGCTGGAATTGTCCTTTTTTCTAATTTACAGAAAAATTGAAAACATTAGTAAATTTAAAGATTAAAATACTATTTAAAAATGAATATAATCTAGATTGTAGGTTAACATATAGTTTAGCTCCACAGTAGAATCAAGTAGCTGTGTGTTCCAGTTGTACTCTGAGGGATTCCAAGTATTTTTTGTTGTTTATGTCTCTGGATTTATGAATAAAGAGCTGATCCCTCTCAGGATCAGGAAAATTAAGAAAAATAATCAAAGCATGGGTTTTAAGGTCTATAGAAGATGTACAGGTACATTAATTTTAGTGAGACTGCAGTCAGGATGAATAATAGTATTTTCCATCAGAAAAAGAGAACAACAGTAGGGGAGAGATATTATTCAGGGATCCAAAAAAAATCAGTGGAAACGTAAAAACATTAAGAGTGGCTAAGCACATGAGCATGGTAGATATGGCAACTGAGCACATATAATTTGTCTCAGATACTGCTTCAAATTTTGAGAAGGAAAACGTCCAACAAATTTTTTGCCCGAGATAAACTGCTCTGCCCCTTCGAGACCCCTCTCCCCGGGAAGCTGAAGGTGTGCGGTCAACGCCTCTGTCCTGCCCCAGGACCCGGCGCCCCAGCGGCGGGGCAGGAGATGGGGACGGAGCGTGGGCGGCT